TCTGCCGTTCAATTGTATACATCTAAGCAAAGTTTGGCGCTGCTACGCAGCGCCGCTTGGACACCATCCTGGAAAAAACCTTTGAGGTAAAATTGACCCCATACGAGCTCGTGTTAAAGAAACCTACTGGCAGGGGTGAAAAGCGTCCTTTGAGTCACGAACGACATTTGAAACAGCATAAGTTCCAATTCTTTTGAACTTATAAGTTCTAAAAATTTGGAACTTATCGGCTCCAATTTTTTAACTCCCGGAGTTTAGGAAACAGGTCCAAGTGCGCAAGTGGCCGGAGAGGTGGGCTTAAAACCAATGAGTAAGCCGGTTTTCAGGGTTTAATGCATCCGAAAAATCCTCTCCATCGCTTTTCTGTCAGATTGTTTATTATTTTTTATGTTAAACGTCATCTAAACTTGAAAATTACTGTGCTGCTATAGGCACGCAGCTATGACATGTGCCTATCACTACAGTGTCTGAAATGGATCTCCATAGTTTTTTCATAGTTCTAAGCCTCTACTACCTGCGCTTTCAAAATATTTACTCCCCAATCCGGAATCGTCAACCATAAATCTAGCACTGGATAGCCTATTGCAAAGCCTTGGTTACATTGATGGCTGATCGATGACCACGTAACGAGCTTGTCCGTCATTGCGGCGGCGGCGAACCACTCACTGGGGCGTTGCTATTTCGAACACGGGTCCGGCACAGGAGGGGCCGCGTGTCTGACAGGACGTGTCGGCACAGACAAGGCCGCGTGTTCTGGCGTTGGAGAGGGTAACATGTCCGGCACGGGAGCAGCCGTCGTGAACAGAGGCAGCAAGGATAAAACCCTATTGATGCCGGCCCAGTGTCAGAGTCACGTAACCCACCACCAAATACAACACCCGATGAAAGCTTGACCTTACGACTACTGACGACAAGCTTGGGCTCAATCCTTGTGTCTCTGCAGTGGATGGATGGAATTTGAATTTGTGGACATATGAAATTCAATCTTTCGTCCGAACGTAAGCTAAATTACCCTATGACACAGACTCATCGATAACCCCAAAACTTACAATTGGAGTTGCCAACCACTTTGTACCAACTACGGTGAGCAACGCCCTCGCACCAAACGAAACCTCTTTACGACAGATGTTCCCAAAACTTGATAAATGTGTCACTTCCCACAATGTTATCCATGGGCATCAATTTAGCGGAGGATGACGTCCACGAATCTTACTGATGCTTTATTAATCTTTAATGTAGCATAACACTTTGTGGAGTGGAATCGTCCTATAAAATAACACGCTTAAAACCTCGCTCTGGTATGGAGAGGGGCGCGCTTTCCCCCCCCCCCCCCCCCTAAGGGTTCATGAGGATACCTCTCCAGTATGTCGTGCAGTCGCTCCCAAATTTTTCGGTACATTCTGGGACGTTTATTGCGGGTGTTTCGACGAGTCGCTAGCCTCGAACTAAGTTTTCAAGGAGCATTGCGCACCGATCAACGGACGCACAGGCGGCGGTGTTGTGACACTGTTACGTTAACAGAGCACTGCATGATACACATTTGCTCCGAACACATAAAACTTCGCACTGTTGTACTCAGAACAAAAGGGAATGCACCTCCATAGATTTTGTGCCGCTTCGGAATACATGGTCTGTACATGGAAACTGGCATGGGACGTGGAAACTGAAAATGCTCAACTTTCAGGAAAATCTGACCATTGATATTTGTTATGGCTGGAACCCAAAACTTCTTACCAGTCGCAAAAGCTAGTGAGACAATCCGCTGTTTTTATTCCGTGCAGTTCATCTACCTTAGTTTCTGAAACGTTGTGGGGAGGTGTCCGACCTGACCTCGCTATCCTCGGACCTCGACTTCGACCCTCCCGCTATCAGTCTGTGTTGTGAAAAACGACGAATCAAGCCGAGAGCTATGAATAAGTCATGACTAAACATCACATTGGTCATGCTCACTATGCAGTTTATCTTTTACTTGTGCAGATTAATGACGTGACCCTGATAGCGAAATGAAAGAAGATGTCTAAAATAGAGTTAGCAGACATCATTTGAGGACATAAGGCAGATATCGCATGCACGTACATAAAGCCAGAATGGATCCCCTCTTAAAAGTCCTCTTGGGAATCATAGCTTTAACATTGTCTGCCTCAAAGTTATCAAGACATACGTCACCATTAGCTAGGGGTTTACTTGCATGCGATAGTAGTAACAATATGATAGGCTTTGCATGATCACAGATGGCGCCAGCTTCACATGAACAATGACCACCTTCCGCAATTGTTTTTGACCCTAGATCAAAGTTAGGTTCCTTGAGTGATTCCTATTAAATCCTTGGCAGATCGATATTGAAAATTATATGACATGCAGCAGGATAATTATCAGTTCCGCACTGAAATGCAGCTGTCTGGTAACCAATGGTCTTCAATGAATGCTTATTGTGTGTGTGTGTGTGGTGTGTTGTGTGGTGTGTGGTGTGGTGTGTGTGTGTGTGTGTGTGTGTGTGTGTGTGTGTGTGTGTGTGTGTGTGTGTGTGTGTTGTGTGTGAGTGGTGTTGTGTGTGTGTGTGTGATTGTGTGTGTGTTGTGGTGTGTGTGTGTGTGGTGTGTGATGTTGTGTGTGTTGTGTGTGTGTGTGTGTGCTGTGTGTGTGTGTGTGTGTGTGTGTGTGTGTGTGTGATGTGTTGTGTGTGTGTGTGTGTGTGGTGTGCGTGTGTTGTGTTGTGTGTGGTGTTGTGGTGTTTGTGTGTGTTTGTGTGTGTGTGTGTGTGTTGTGTGTGTGTGTGGTGGTGTGTGTGTGTGTGGTGGTGCTTATTGTACTGATTAGTTTTCTACTTAAAAGCATGCTAAGCCAAAGTGAATTATTTCACCATGTGCTCATATGTGCTTCCAATCTATTCAAATCGTGGAGCATTCCCTGTAAGACCCTGATGATTAGCTACGTCTTTCAAGCAGTGCGCTTCTCACGACACGAACACAACCAACGCACAGCCCTCATTGGACCCGATCCACCAACCGCGTGGCGAGCATCAAAACCATCTGTCGCAAATGACACGACTCCTAAAACACGCTGCGTAGCCGAGGACTTATCACGTTCGCCGTAAGGTGTACTGATATTTTACACTGTTTAATATGTGAAGTGAATCCTGGCTGCAAAAAAACCTGATCTGAGATGCATTGTAAAAGCGCTGTGTTGCCATTAATATGTGCTGTCAAACTGATATAGTATAGTTTGTAATATAGTTCCGTCACCCTGCTAAAACTACCCGGATTAAGGTAGTCAGCACTTACATAGTAAAGCTTAGAGTATATTTCTATCACCTGCTAAAAACTATCCTGATTAAAACCACCATACTTGGAAGCATTTAGTGGCTCAACTTGCTGACAGAACAAAACGTCAATGTTTCGACACATGCTCTACTTAAGCTCACACTGTAAGCGTTAGCGAGTAGAGACCAATCATTAACTTTGAGTTTGGTCTAACTGGGATGGCCCATCGTAATATGTTTTCATTCCCGCAATGTCTTCATCAAAATTTTTTGCAAAATTTTTTCGCCAATCATGTGCGGTAAATCGGACGCTTTTCTCACCCCTGGCTGCTGGTTGAGATCGTTAGGACAAAGCAGGGCTTCTTTTTAGACTGTTCCCAAACAACATATATACAGCCGTAGCGTCGCGTTCCTCTAAAGCCATCATAGCCTCTGATCCAGCCGGTGGCACGCGAACAGGCACGGTCTGTTTGGCACGCCACGAGGCACACGGCAGCCGGCCAGCGCGTCCAGCGAGCTCTGCTGTGGATATCAAGCAACGGACAATTCGGTCTGCGAAGCCAGCGCAGGCAACACGGACAAAATCCAACGAAGCCACAGATTTTGACGGATGCGCCACGCCCCACTAGTTCTACGTGAGAAAGCTCCGTTGGTCTGGGAGAAAACGCGGTGTGTTTAGCCTGCACATGGCAAGGACGCTTCTTGAGGCAGCGGGAACAGGGGGGGGGGGGGGGGGGGCAACCAAAACATATCACTCAATTTTGCGTCCGTTGCGTTGGTCTGGAAAGACATGCATTGCCACGGCGCCACTGGGTTAGCTGGCGTCGATCGCGCCTCTGCAGCCTCTCTCACCCCTCCAGTAGCTTGGCTGACCTGAAAGACACGTGACACGTGTGTGTGTGTGCGTGCGTGTGTGTGTACGCTAGATGACATCAAAAGGGTCTGGGACTATTAGCTACAAGGAATGACTGCCTACGAAACCAAGAAGCATTTACCTCCAGCTGGTCACAGCTAAAAAATTTTGGTCAGTGAGATCGCACTGTTGCGATGACAGTGCGGCACACGGACACTGTTTGTGTAGCGGCTTCCATCACTCGTCTGCTAAAAGCATATTAGGCGGCAACCGGGAAAATGTCCCCAGTTCTTATGGGTCTACCATCAGTACGTTAGCGAGTGCCTTGAACGAGCAGAAGTGCTAAATGCAGAAACATTCGCATTTTTGCGATAGGGAACACACACACACACACACACACACACACACACACACACACACACACACACACACACACACACAACACACACCACACACACACACACACACACACACACACACACACACACACACA